CCGCTCTGAATGGTGAAATTTAAGGGAACTCAGAACTCAGCTCTTCCTGGCCCAGACTGACCTTTGCCTTACAGACCCCAGTCAGGTGGTCATTAATGGACGTGGCTTTCATAACACAAAGGGGAAGAGCCAAGTCATCTGCAGATTCAAGTTCCATGACAAGTCAATTGGTAAGTGCCTTCGGCACCCTAGGTCAGAGTTTCCCACACGAGACTATCTCCCCCCTTGGCCACTAAGCCTTCCAGGCCCTGGTGACCATCTGTTGCAGAAATGGGGGTTCACAAGCAGTGTGGAGTATTGAGAAGGGGTTTCTCGATGGGAAGCCTGACCACCTGCCCCTCCATCTGCAAAGTGGGAAAGCAATAAACCCCAGCACCCCAGAGCACCGTGGAACAGGGCCGTGCCCCTCAGTGACACGGGGTTTGGAGGGCTCGCCCCGCCTTTGAGTGACCCCATAGAAGGGCCATCTGCTTGACAGGAGCTAGGCTCATTGACCCCATCAAGTCTGCCTGCACAGAAGCTGCTCTTCCTTACAAGGCAGCAGGAGGAAAACACGGGACCACGCACAGCGGAGTCTCCCCAGGCAGGGGAGGTCAAGGCTTCTACTCAGGGAGGGTGACCAGGCCGTGAGATAAGCTTGGAAGGCTGGTCTCACGGGCACAAACTCAGTGAGAGTCCCTGCCTCGCACACATGGCATGTTATGGAAACGGGGCTGCAGCTCCCCCTGGTGGAGATTCTCAGAGGTCAGGAGGGGTCCCTTCCCCATTTGGACGCAGTGTGACCTGTCCCAGCTGTAGGGCTCAGGGTTCTTCTCTGGGAGGACATGATTCCTGTACAGCCTCAGATAAGCCCCAGGGGAGCAGGCCTGGCTGCCTTCTTCCTGCAGAGCTCAGAGCACACATGGTGGGGCAGGGCTGTCTCGGCACGTGGCTCTGAGTAGAAGAAATCAGGGCAGACGATCTGGTCATGGGGAGACGAGCTCTACTGCCCAGGGCAGGCACGGAGGGAGGGACTGTGCACTGTCACCTCGGTCATTTCCTTTCAGACAAGAAACCAACCAGCATGGACAGCACATCCATAACCTGCCCTGGACCCAAGTTAGAGGCACCTGGAATGTAAGCGCCGCTGGCAGGGGTCCCGGTGGGCAGGAGGCCAGGCGGTTGGTGTTGGCCGTCAGTGGTGTACACACGTGGGATGCCTCTGCTGGGGCGGCACACGTCCACTGCACGTGGTCTCAGGGCCTCCTCTGCACCTGCCCTCGTTGGGGTCCCCCAAGGTGTTCAGGGCTCTGTGGTGGCCCAGGCTCTGCTGAGGGGGACAGAGGCAGGGCTGCTGTGCCCACAAATGCTACCTTGCTCCAGGTCACCTTCTGGGCTGAGACAACAGCCCCTGTAAACATGTGGACACCCAGAACCCTCCCTGGTCACACAGCCAGGGTCACGGTGGCAGCAGACCCCACTGGGGCTTATCCATGTCCTCTGGCCATCACTCAAGGCTGGCCTCGCAGAGTCTGCTCTCTGGGGATGTGTGCTCTCTGCTCCCTGAGTGCTGGTGCTCAGAGTGGATCCAGGATGGAGAGCTCGGGGCTGTGGCCCGCACCAAGGGCAAGGACAGGGCTAGTCCCCATCTTCTATTTCCGTGCCTCAGGAAGGCCTTGATTGAAGTCAGCCTGGACAATGGCATCAGCTTTCTCCCCAGCAACGTCAGCATCACCAGCATCAACTGCGTGAGTGATTGATGAGGGCTGAGCCCCCCGCCCAGCCTGGCCAGAGCCTGCTCTGGGGGCGGGGCAGCTGGAGGGCAGAGGGCAATGGAGCTTAGCAGTAGCCTGAGCACACAGCTGCCTCCAAGGCTCCACCCTGGACCCTGGCTGGGGCAGGGGGGTGAGGCTGGGAGGCTCCTGCCTGGGGACAGAGTCCGGGGCTTCCACATGGGCGGCCCCGGGCACAGGGCACCTGCAGGTTTTCCCACTTAAGTGAGGGCACACATGGCCCTGACTCAGTGCCTAAACCCACCCGCGGCCCTGGCCCCGCCTGTGCACACCCACCACCGTCTGCAGCTGTCTTCTGCCTCCTTCCTGCCTCTGCTCCTATTGGGCTCCTCAGCTGTCCCTCTGCTCTCTCTGTCCCCTGGGCTGTTTCTGTCCCCTGCTGCTGAGGAAGCTGTCAGGACCAGGCCGGGCTCAGCCCAGAGAGTCCCCTGTGACAGCAGGTCTCACTCCCCAGGTGCCAGCTCTGCAGAGCTCCAGGTTGTCAGCCCCTGGGTCCAGGGTGGCAAGGCGGGAGGATGTGCCTGTGGGAGGGAGGCTGGGTCTCCGGGCCACCGCCCCGGGCCCGCTCAGCCCATCTGGACACCGCAGTGCTGCCCTCCCCTCACTGGGGCTGCCTTCACTCATCGCTGTGCGTCCAGGCATGCACACCCGGGCTCACATGTTAGTCCTCCAGGAGTCCCTGCTCCTGACAGGCCCCGGGCACAGGCACATTTAGGAATAAGGACACCCCACGGCTACAGCCCCGCCATCAGCCAAGGGGGGCCCCTCCTTTGAGCTGCCTCTCTCTGGGGCACAACCCCCACTTCTCTCTGGGGTACACACCCCCACCTCTCTCTAGGGCACAGCCCCCCCACCTCTGGGGCACCCCCCCCACCTCTCTGGGACACACAACCTCCCGCCTCTCTGGGACACACCCCCACCTCTCTCCAGGGCACAGCCCCCCACCCCCTGCAGCCACCCCCATCAGAGCAGGTGGTCAGGGCAGGCCTGGGCGGGCGTGTCCCGGGACGCAGCACGGGGTCCCTGAATGAACGTGGACCAGGGAGTCGGCCCAGCTCTCAGTCCCCCGTGGAGCTGCGCTTGCTGGGACCTTCCCCCACATCTAACCCCCAGTGCCTTGAGGGAGGCACGTTCCTGTCCTTGTACAGAGATGGAACCTGAGGCTCAGAGACATGAGTGGGTGCAGAGCCGGGGAGCGGGGAGACTCTGTGGGAGGTGCTCCAGCCCCTGCCCCTCTGTGGCCCCCTTCAGTGGACCCGTCTGTGTCCTTGACCCCGTGGCCCTGTAACTTGTTCTGTGAGCCGAGAGTGTGTTCTCAGTAGGTCCCAGGAGCTCTGGGCTTTTCTTGGCTGGACTCTGGGTCAGAGCTTGTCAGAGGGGCTTGAGATGCGGTGAGGACTGCGGTCTGTAACCCTCTGGGGACAGTCCTGACCTGTGTCCTCCTGTGGCCCCTTGTGGAGGACCACCTATGTAGAGGGACAGCAGTCATATGGGATGCTGTGTACTGGGCACCAGGGAAGAGAGGCCCGGGCCTGTGCCACTTTCCTAATTGCGGGGCTAGTCGCCATGGTGCTCTCTTTCACCCACAGAACACCCCACCCGTGGCCCCACCGGAGCCTAAGAAAACACGAGAGACGGTTTCCCCAGGAGAGTCTCGGGCCTCACCAGAGCCTGAGACCACAGGAGAACCTGAGATCCCACCTGAGGCTAGTACCCCCCAAAGCCTGAGGGTCCCCCAGACTCTGAGAACCCCCAGAGGCTGGGGCCCACCAGAGTTGAAATCCCCCAGGGCGGTGACAGCCCCAAAGGTGCCGACACTCCTGGGGCTGAAGTTCCCACTCCCCCCCAGGGCACCTCTCCCCCATGGGAAGATACCAGCATCCGACTCCCACTGGTGCCCATCGGGCTGGGCCTACTGCTGTCCCTGCTGCTGCTATGCTGTGTCTGGCGATGGCGCAGGAGGAAGGTGAGCGTCCCCGCACAGCCCTGGGGCCAGGACACCCCACCCTCCGAGGAGCATGGCCGTGACCCCGCCCGTGGGCACTATCCCTGCTGCGCTGAGGTCAGGACAGTAGCAGGCGCCATCCTCAGACCCTTGCACCCTGGACATGGGCTTCCCTGAAGGCTGCTGCCCCAGGACGGCAGAATTGGCGAGGGGGCCCTCTGGGCCGGTCCCTCCCTGGACCCTGCAGAGGGATGACCCAGGCCCCTGGGAAGGGCAGTGGGCGTGTCCTCGCCTCCCTGTGGGATGGGCTATGGGGACACTGCCAGGTGTAGGGCCTTGCCAGGAACCAGGCACCTTGTCTTGGCTGATCCCCAAGGACCCGCCCAGGTGCCAGGGATTCCACTGGGGACACTGGAGCCAGAGGTTCTGGGCCACTGCGCCAGGGACAGGGCGCCAGCTAGGACCCCACAGGCCCTGTCCCGAGGGCAGCTCCGGGTCCCAGCTGCTGCAGGCCCAGGCAGAGCCCACGGCGGCCCAGCTCTCGTTCCCGTCTCTCTAACACTCCGGCCGAAGGTGAGTGGAGGTTTGGTCGGACCCTGTCTGTGTGCCCGAGGACAGCTCCGAGCTCACACGGGACCTCCTGAAGCTGGTGCTCCGTGGGCCCCCCTTGTCTGGAGGAGGAGACAGAGGGAAGGAAGGGCCTTGGAAGGGCCTGGGATGCACTGATGTCACCAGACAACACAGCACCACCAGATTCTGGGCCTCTGTCGCCCAGGTAGCAGGATGGGGTGGCCCATTTCAGGCCACTATGAGCACCCTACTGAAATACGGGGTCTCTCTCGTGGATCCCAAAGGGCAGTTTATAGAAGGGCGAGGACTCGGCTGTACTTTGGGAAGAGGAGCCTGGTGTTCCAGGGCACGGCCCAGCTGCAGGCTCTGGGCGGACTGTGCCTCGATGTCTGACTTTGTCCCTGGCTCTGACAAGGCCCAAGGCTGTGGCTGGGGGAGCCCTGGGGACAGTGGATGGTGGGGAGAACTAGGCTGGAAGAGCCCTGGGGACAGCAGTGGGGGGAGCCATGGCTAGGGGAGCCCTAGGGACTGCAGGGGGAGGAGGGAGTCTAGGTTGGAGAAGACTTAGGAACTGCAGGGGGATTAGGGGAGGGAGTCTAGGCTGTGGGAGCCCTAGGTTCTGCAGGGGGAAGAGGGAGGGAGTCTGGGCTGGGGGAGCCCTAGGTTCTGCAGGGGGAGGAGGGAGCAAGTCTGGGCTGGAGAAGACTTAGGAACTGCAGGGGGATTAGGGGAGGGAGTCTAGGCTGTGGGAGCCCTAGGTTCTGCAGGGGGAAGAGGGAGGGAGTCTGGGCTGGGGGGGGC